CACAGGTCCTTTCCGTTCATTTCCATTAAAATTCTGTTAATGCGCTGGCGTGGCACACATAGGGAAGGAAAGGAAATGACTAATTTGCCTTAACTAAGTGACCACGTGCTACTCACACAATCACTTACTGAAAAACTAACAAAAGTTGAGATTTGGACCAACTTGATGAAGGATTATTGATTTATGGATTTAAGCAGTGACATTCAGATTTTAGGGACTAAAATGACACACAGGCCAAAGTTGAAGAGACATGAGCAAGATTTCAACTGAATTTACAAGTGTTGAAACATTCCAATTTAAATGAAACCACTGAACAATTGCAAAGCCACATTAAAATCTAACTTCTAGATTAAATAAATTTATAATTAAAAAAATGTATGAAATTCTTGCATCCAACCCACATTTAGACCCAGATACTTTTGCAGAATTAGGAAACAAAATATTCAGAACTTGCCTTTCCTTTGATAGTCACCAATGTTGCTCTTGTTAGCTCCAAACCCTCACTTGTGACACACTAACAAAACAAAATGGGTCAACCAGGATGGCATGAGTACACCAATACTTTATGAGAAAATAATAAATAATAAATTTCCACAATCTGAACATGTCATATACAGGAGACAAGATTAACAGCTAAAGCGCTGACAAAAAAAATATTAGCATGTATGATTTTAAGAAAAGTAGAAGCATGTGCATTCAATAAGCAACTTTCAGAAGGTAGTGATCTAGTTTTAGAACTTCAAGCTCAAATGTCAGTATGCGACCTCTTATCGATAATCAAGTCTTGTACTTGTCATTCCTTTTCTGAACAAGACACCAAGCCACCTTGTGTCCGCCAAAACCAACATCATCCCTCCCACAATGAAACTGTCCCAAGGTGAAGGGAAAAGAAAAACCCAGAAACACCCTGCACTACCTCCAAAAAATATACCTATCAAACATAACCACCTGATGCAGGACGCGTAGGACCTAAATTTATTAGTTTCCTAATATATTTGCAAGTTTCCTAGGTTCTCTAGTTTTCCAAATTCTAGTAGAATTTCTACTTTTCCAGATTTCCAGATTTCTAGTTTTAAGTTTCCTATTTTATTTGGGTTAGGATTTCTGTTTAAGCAAGGGATTTTTATCCTATTATGTCTAGGTTTTAGTTTGCTATAAATAACCCCATGTAGTTCTTTAAAATTCAGATTTGGATATTGAGTAAACCTTCTCTTAAAACTATGTGATTTCTGTCCTTCTCGGTTCTCTGATTTCCGTCCTCTCTATCATCCCTTCGATCTATATTTTCGTCTCCTCGACCTCCGATATTCTTCTCTGTTCTATTGTTTACGTGCTTAATCTAATACCTACAGGCTGTACTATTTCATCACCCCAACCCCAAAGTAGTTAAGCTCAAGATCACCAACAAACAGCTCTTAAACATTTTAATCAGCAGCTACTGGCTCAGATACGAAGTCACTGGTGGATAAACCCCCCATTTAGGATTCAGCTAACAAGTACAAAATAAATTGAAAGGAAAAATGTGCCCGACAATGAACTTCCCACAGGCTAACAGTTATCTAGTACTTTATGGAAATAATTAAAATATATTCCTATCTTCACAAAATTGACAATCAAGGATTTACCATCTCGCAATCAAGTGCCAACATTTCATAATGAGATGATCCTGATGGGGCTGGAAGAGTAGAAAGAAAACCTGTATTGAAACAATATAAGAGTTTAAGGAACTACCCACAAATTAACTCAAAGAGAAAAGTTTAATTAATAACTAAAACAGCACATGTCTTGTTACCTGGCTGATTGAAGCAATATCCATTGTCTTCAAGTTGTTTTGTTGTAAGAGTGTAAAATGTAATAGGGAAAGGTAGATCTTTCATAAGGTCCAGAGAGCATGGATCATCTGTACCAGCGCAAGGAATGGCAAAATAATTTTCAGAAGGGACATACTTGTTATAAAGGAACAAAACCTTCATTCATGTCCAGTCACAAACAGCTAATAGTAAAAGTTAATTTAAGGCATGAAGTACAAAACCTCAAGCAAGGTTAAATATATCTTCGTAAAGTGCAAGAAAAATAAAAATGCATATGTCAAAGGAATAAGACCAACAATGGTTCAAGTACAGGACCTTTTAAATTTCCTTGCACAACTTCAGTAAGGAAATTACTTATTTTAAGTAAAAAGATAAAAATATCATAACTTCCATTATGCAGCTTGCATCAAAATATATCTCAAAGATAAGAGAAAACTGACAAGATATTTGGATTCTATTCATACTAACATCAATGCATGAATTTCAAAAGCAAAAGCTTTTCTAGACTTCCATATACAAGGACCTTTACGGTGAAATCCAATATTTTATTGTAATATTTTTGACGCGACATTCCAATCTTAGGAATCATTAGCTGCCCATATGAATCAGAAACTACTCTTTCCGGATGGCTAAGTAACACATACAAAAGAGATCTCCAAGATATCTGGACTCTATTCACAATGATGAAACAATGCATGAAGTTCAAAAGGGAAATCCAAGGATTTTTATGGTGCACTCCAAAATTATAGTGTAATAATTTTGATGTTACACTTCAATGTTAGGAATCATTTGCCATCTATATGAAGCAGAAACTACTCTTTCCGGATGGCATTGCATTTTTGTTCATGCTTTGTACATGCAAATACTTGGGAATACTACAATGAGAGTAAATACTTGACAGCGTGAAGAAAACAACAAAGCTTTTTTTTCAACTTCTGGAAGCAAGAAAAGTTGGCTATGAGAAATTAGCTTCATCCATATGACATGCTGCATTTGGTTTCTTATTTTTAATCACAACCCCGTAGGCTCTTTCCTAATAGTTCCAATCCAAGATTTCCTCCTAACATGAGAAATTTTTCTCCTCTTACATAGCATTAATACACTCCCAACAAGGAACTTGTTAATTCAGAACAGTGTACATGAAACTATAATGAACAATATTACCAAAGAGAGGACTTCTAGCCAAACTGGAATGGAGTAGTTTAAAAAACGCAACTAGAGCGCTGCAATAAGTAGACAGCCACCTGAGCAGTGTTCTTTTCAGTGCATGCATATTACTGAAACACCAGAGACCTATATAAATACACAGAGATTCAGGGTGCTTGTGGCTTGCTTTTCTACTCAGACAAGTTGGAATAGCATTCCCCCAAGTAAATTATCCTTGAACTCCGTACAATTACCGATTTTTTCATGCAAATTAGCAAATTAAGATTAGAGCAAGAAGTTTGGTATGATCAAGTCACATACCTTGTTGAGATGCCAGGTTAGATTTCTCTGTAGCTGTACTATTTTCTTCCCTCTTTCTTTTCACTTTGCATGTTAGGAGGGCATCAATCGTCTGCATTCCATCCGACATACAGCTAGCATAGGAAAAAAAAAGAATAAAGCCATAAAAATTGCAAGCACAGGAAAATACACAACAATAACCTCGTAAGGCGGAGGAAAAAAAATCATACTCATCACCAACCTGAGAGCTAAAACTGGCCTTGGCTTGCCACAAAATTCTTTGAGACTCTTAAGTAGTCGGTGCTGTGATAAGTACAAAGCTGCATCCAGGCCTGGGACGTAAAGCATAACCACTTTGGGAATGAGCGGTTTGTTCTGCAAAATGCAAGGTTACAGTATAAATAACTCTAAGGATTCATGTTTCTTTCCACTGCATGTCTGTAAATTATGCACCAAAGCCAAACAGATTCAGAAATATATAGAACAGGGAACCATTTCACAGTTCAATGAGTCTTTCACCTATTTGATGGGATGTGTTAACATTATCTATGGTCAAACTCTCTACATCTTATCAATGGATATAACCATGTTGGTAGGAATATTAACGACTCTTCCACCTATTTTTGGTAATATTGCTTATTATGGTTCATTGGTCTGTAACCATTCATACACTGGAATTATCAAAATAGACGATAAGGAATGAGAGCATCCTTTACCTTAATAAAAACCCAAGACGGCATGAATCCTTCACCAAGAACCCATGTCACTAGTTCTTGAACCTCCTGCACCACAGCACAAACTGGGCTGACTCTTTTTTCTTAATTAATAAATGGCCAAACTCAAATCAAAACTTTTCCAACCAATTCACAGAAAATGAACAATATTTCAAAAAATTGGGTGATTGAGAATACCCACTTGCAAGTTCAGAGTTGAGTTGGCTTCTGGCGTCTTAAAAACCACCTCTGCTTTACTCTGAAAAAGGGAAGAAAAAAAATTATAAGTAATGCACTAGAGTTCATTCTTTATCAAAAGCCACCAGAGAGCGCAACTATAAGGCAGGCACAAAAAGCATTACTGGTATAAGCTAAAGTTTACTGCATAATATGCATAACACTAACACCACAACAATCGAATGCATAGCTATAGACACCCCTCTTTTAGATACAAGAATATATGCCCACCTCTATATTTACTATTTTGTTTATAATAAAAAAAAATTTCAATATTCAAATGCAAAATAAAGATCATCAAATATTATTAATCCCAATTCATGGCCAAACAAAGAAGAAAAATAAGATAAAATTGAAGAGAGAGAGAGAGAGAGAGAGAGAGAGTACTTGAGGGCCATAAACATCGAAGAAAGTGGAACGCTTGCTATCATTTTTGTTGCTGCTGGAGCTAACTTCTTCCTCAGATACTAAAGCTTCGCATTTATTGAGGGAAGAAGGCATGGTTCTGTGAAGCTTAACCAATCAACCCCGAGAACGCAGAACACAGAGAGAGAGAGAGAGAGAGAGAGAGAGAGAGAGTATAAAACCCCTGTATTTTTCTGGGTCAATCCGAAATTAGACCCGACAACCCAATTGTTGAGTTGGGCTGGGCTTGAAATTTACCAGCGTTGTAGTCCTATCCAGGATAAGGATATCCTTATCCATTGTTAGTATAAAGGCCTATGACAAGTTAGTTGGTCAGCCGAACCGCCCTACACTTTAAAGAAGGCTCTGGAATGTACTATTAATCGATTTCACAATTCACACACAGCAGCACGACGAGCGAGAGAGAGAGAGAGAGATATGTCTAGATCACTGGTGCAGCCCGTAGGGCAGAAGAGGCTAACGAACGTGGCGGTGGTGCGTCTGAAAAAGCGCGGCACTCGCTTCGAAATTGCTTGTTACAAGAACAAGGTCCTCTCATGGCGGTCTGGCGTGTAAGCTCTCTTTCTCAACCTCTAAAATTTGTTTAATTTAAATGCCAAGTTATTGCTAAAGAAGGATTTGCAAGAAGTGCTTTGCTCTCTCAGCATATTTTCCTAGAAGAATTAGAATAATATGCATACACCATTTTTATTGAGAAATATTTATAAACTAGTTTTCAGGTGTTTATCATACAGTCTGTAACATATTCTATATAAGTAAATTTATTCATGTGTGTTGATTTATATACGTAAGTCTAACTGGAGAAGCAAAATGTTGGGCAGACTTCTGTTGTCAATTGATATTTGTGGATATAAAGGAAACTTGTGTAATGTGTTCTCGTTAGTTATTTAATTTTTTTTTTAGAACATTTTGAATTTAATTTAGTATCATTGGAGGCATTAATATGTTCTAATATAAATAATTTAAGAAAGTGGTTATGTTATATGTTTGGGACAGAGAGAAAGATTTGGATGAAGTGCTACAATCACATACCGTTTACACGAATGTCTCGAAAGGTATTCTTGCCAAGACAAAAGATTTGAACGCTGCATTTGATTCAGATGATCAGACCAAGATTTGTTTGGAGGTCAGTGAAATAAATTTCTTTATGTTATTTATCTGGTCAATTAGCTTTGTAAATGTATGGCTGACCTGTAAGCTTTGTTGTTGTAGATTTTGGACAAAGGAGAGCTTCAAGTGGCTGGGAAGGAGAGGGAATCTCAGTTGTCCAGTCAGTTTCGAGACATTGCCACCATTGTTATGCAGAAAACCTATAATCCCGAAACTCGGCGCCCTTACACTATTAGCTTGATTGAGAGTCTAATGCATGAAATTCACTTTGCTGTAGATCCACATCGAGGTTCGAAGAAGCAGGTGTCTGAATTTTTCTTTCATTGCATCTTACATAAGAATATATAGTTGTATGGAGTTTAATAGATGCCTGATAGATGTGAATTCAGCCACTTTTATTGATAATTACTGTATTACCTTAAATACCACAAGAACCAGGGAAAAGAAAAGGATTGGTGCATTCTAAATGAGTCTGTCGGTATGAAAATTATGTTGCAGGGTATTATTGTCTGTGAAATATAAGCATTCATTTATTTTTTATATGTATGTGTGTATGTGTGCACGTGCGTGGTGTTGCTGTTCTGTGAAATATGTGTATAATATGTAGACTTGCGTATGTGTGCACATGCGTGCTTGCACGTGGTGTTTCTGTCTGTGGAATATCTGTACAAATGTAGGACGTATATCTCTCTATTTGTGTGAGGTGCAACGTTTCTGATTTAGGTAATATGGCACATGGTGTTACCATCTGTTGAATATCTATTATACCATTTCTTATGCAGGCTCTGGAAGTTATTCATGAGCTTCAGAAGCACTTCCCGATAAAACGGTCTCCAATGAGATTGCGACTCATAGTACCTGAACAAGAATTTTCATCCCTTTCAGAGAAGCTGACTGCCTGGAATGCTACAATAGTTTCGAAAGATCAAACTGGAAGTCAGATATCTATTGTAAGTCTAGATATTTTATTTGTCTTTTGCAAATTAATTTCTTAAAGTGCAATAGAGACTGGTGTACTTTAAGCATGCTACTTACCGAGTCACGCATATACAATTGCTTATGCAATACTCTTCCATTGTGGGAGTAATCGTGAACTCTTATCGTCTGTTCATCTTGTATTTTATATTGTGCAGATTTGTGAATTGGATCCTGGTTTTTATCGTGACTGCGAGGGATTGATGATGAAGTTGCATGGGAGATATGAAGTTCTTGCACTCTCTGTGCATGCTGAGGGTGACACTGTTATTGATCAATACGATGATCATGAGGATGAACCATCGCGCACGCTCAATGAGTCCTCTGATTTTGACTTATCAAAGAAAAAAGAATCTACTGATTCTGACTTATTGAAAAAGGAGTCGGCTGATCCTGTGCTAAAACTGAGCAATGAAATGCAAAAACAGAGCATCTCTACGGGGAAAGGAACTGTTGTGTCGGAGGGAAAGCAGAACAAATGCAACACTTGCAATGCTTTTGTGGGTGATTCCAAGCAGTACAGGGATCATTTCAAGAGTGAGTGGCACAAGCATAACTTGAAGCGCAAAACCAGACAACTTCCTCCCCTAACTGAAGATGAGTGTGCGGCTGACATGGAAATGGATGACCATAAGGCGGATTTGAAGGATTATTCCTTTTAATGGACGTCAATGTCAAAATTTGAAAGCCTGAAATGGTTGGTCACTGATTTACAAAATCTGACATACACTTCTGGGTTAATTTTGATTAGAGATGATGAATGAATCTGTTTTTACAAGGGATTTGTGCAGAATTATTTACGCTGAAACTTATAATAGAAATTCTTATGGACTGAAATTCCTATGCATCTTTGTATTACAAATTTTTCTCACGTACGTTTGTTTCTGTGGCCCACGAACCCGTTTTAATATAAAACCGTACAAACCCGTTTCAGTTATCTGTCAATTTCTTTGCTGTTGTCAATCTGAGTGTGCAGTCAACTCTCACAACCGGAAAGTAAGGAATGGAATGTGGAAGTTGAGAAATTAGCTAAGACAAGCAATGGGTTCTAAGCCATTTCTTTGTTGTAGAAAGCACAGATTGGTGAGTGGGATGTGAAAGTATGGTTTTATTTGGTTTGGGTAAATATTTATTGCACGTCAGATTGGTTCGTTGGTTGGACGACCCAGCTTTGGTTGAATCCTTCAACTCTTGGTCAATTTTCCTTGCCTGAGACGCTTGCGGTTTTTTGTCTTCCACCAAAGAAAATTAATCGAAATATCAGTTATTCATCTGAGCTTTATGCTTTACCCTTTAATCTTTTTTATGTAGAAAATAGTGTGTTATCTCTTTTATCGTGTGCCAAAGATGAATTGGCTCGTCTGTAGCCTGTAGGTGGGATGGGTAAAGAGGTGGGGAAGGAGAAAGGAGAGAGCTTTACCATGAAATGGAACTCAAATGGGTTTCTCGGGTTTTTTTTCCCCTTATACGGGCATGAGTATAATAAGTCATACATTATTAACTGTAAGGGGTTTGTAATCCAAGTAGTTATGAGTATTTACCCATGCATTTTAGATCCTAAGAAAAAAAATGGTATTTCATACGTTTGTCCCTCAGAGTCTCTTATAGTTGAGCAGTTACGTCCTCAGATTTTATGTAGTAAAAGGATTTTCTAGCAAACAGATGTGAGATGGTTGAAAAGGCTTGAATGGGAAGAAACATTTACGCCTTGACATGGGAGGAATAGTTTGGATTAATCCAAAAGATTGAGGTGCAATTTAGGCCCAAGCAGACTTTACAAGTTTGGGTGGCAACCGGTAAGGGTTTGCCATATGTGATAAATTTTGGAAAAGGACACCTTCATCCCTTTATATGATCGCATATGTGGTAAAATTTGAGAGATCCTCGACTGAAGCTCTGAGTAAGTAGTATATATATGATATTTCCTTACCAAACACAGATATATTTGATTATTCAATCTAATATAATGTACAAGAACATTCCATTTTAGTAACAATTCTCCTTCAATCCTCAACTCATTATTGCGCCGCAAGTAATTCAATACATATTATGATAGAAGCTTTTTTTAGTGCGAGCACAAACACATATAGCTTGGTTAAACTTGTCATCTTATGGAATGTCCGCATTTATAAATAAATCTGCAATTTATAGCCATTTTTCATCATCACTCCACAGATGCAAAACAATAGAACCTGTCAAACAAATGCAGTGCAGTCATCCGAACATAAATTATAAGAATTAACACCAACAGTAAAACAAATACATATGATATCAAAACAACAGTCACTAGTTTAAACCATAATATCAACAACATAATACAACAATGTTCATAATATAAGTGCATCCCAGTTATTTTTCAGCGAATTCATAATTAAGCCATTGAAGCTTAATGTCAGGATCTTTCATGTAAGTGAACATCTCTCTCTTGTCTTCAGATAAAAATAACCGAGTTGCAAACAACCACAATTTGCTCCCTGGTTCTGCTCCAGGTAAAGATTGAACTGCTTGCATCACTTCAGGAATGCTACTGCCATGTACACCTTCCTCCAATTTAAAAGTTACAGAACTACTACTGTCAACTGACTCAAGAAGGTGATCAATCTTTTCTGACAATTTCACAGTGCCTCCAACCTTCTGCCCACCTATAGCAACTCTTTTGCCTTTCTTTTCTTTCCTAACCTGAGTGTCAGGTTCTTGAACTGTTCTCCTTTTCCCCCTCCCTGATGACCTTTTTCTAGCTTGAGTGGTCAGAATTGGGATGAACTGTTCAGAATCACCCCTACCTTTGAGTTTAATGGCATCATCTTTGGATGCTTCCTCACTTTCAGATGGAACACCAAACAAGGGTGCCTTAGCATGTTCCCTGGTGGTTCTGGTCTTCAAGAACATCCTATCTAGCTTCTCCTCCATCTCAGGTTTAATGCCTTTGTTTCGAAATTTTGCATAATTAGAATCTACCTACATTTTAGAGAGAGATACGACTATTAGAAAAGATTCATGATGATATAATTAAAGACAACTTTAAAAACTAAAAAGAAGTTTACACACCTGAACTCTACTATGCCACCATTCATCAGACACATCAATGGTATTCTTCGTCGGGTTCCATCCTAAACCAGTTTCCTTCCCAATTAGTTCTTTCCACATTTTCCATTCAGCTTTAAGTGAATCCCACTTATTTTTCAGTTGTGGTTTATCATAGTCCTTTCCTGTCTCCTTACTTAAGTGTGCAACCAAATTTTTCCATCCAACTTTGCTAAAGTGAGTGTCAGGAGGATGTCCTGCCTCCACCTCCTTAATACACAGGTCACAGAATATAGCTACACTTAGATCATTCCATATGGTCGCAGCTAGTGATCTACTTCCAACCTTTTCAACACAATTCATCTTATTGTTCTTCCTTCCCATCTGTGTGTATATACATATACATGTATATAACTGTAAGTCAAATGTATTGATTAAACAAGATATTATATGTATACAATTATATGTATATATCTATATGTATATAGTCAAACAGAGATATGAGACAAACAGCCACCATTTATGTTTTTCTTCACATTACAACTGTAAAGCTCCTTTTCACGTTTGATGGCCCCTGGTTTGTTTCTTACGAGTACATTAATGATGTCAACTGGACAAGCCTACACAAAGTGTCTTTCATCCAATAAGAACTAAATGCGGTACAATACCACCAGCTTTGGTATGCTGTCTAATCAGGACTCAGGAACATGCTTCCTAATATTAGTTTTGCTTTTGAAATTTTGATCATTAGTCTAGTTAGTTCATATCTGGTGCATGAGATGGGTGATGACGCGGAAAAAGTACTTCTTCATGCTTGTTTCCAGAATTTCAATGGAGTTCAATTCAATAATATAGCAAAAACATGGTTGGTATGTCATCCATGCAGATAAAATATGATGAGGTTACATCATACAGTTTTAGCACACGATCACTAGGTGGAGAATATTACCATGTGGCCTTCAAAGCTCTTGAAGATGTCACCTTCAGTCTCATCAGCCGGTCTTTAGCATTCTGGCAAGAACTATTTCTATAGTAATGAACTTTTGAGGTTGCCTGCGGGGGAAAAAAAAAGCACTAATTTGTAACAAAAACTGCTTAACCAAACTATTAATAAAAAACTTATGTTAAGATGAGAAGAAAAGTGTTACAACCTCTAAACTTTAAAATGTTTGGGGAAGGTGATGAAGGTGTAAAAAGGACAAGTTAGATTTATGAGTTCACGGAAACAGATCTGTAGAGAAAAAGAAAAGTAAATGTATAGCATTTGGCAAATTTTTTAAGTCACTGATAAAACATAAAAAGTAGTTTATCCATCACACACATCTTCATCACTCAGATAAATGCAAGAGGAAAAAAAATTAATAGTGAAAACTGACATCCATTTCAATTTGTTTGTCTGCTTTTCAAATATGAAAATCAACAAGTTATGGTCAAAACTCATATCAACGTAATTAAGTGTGTGCACAATGAGTACCACACAGATTGTTTTTTTTATTAATTTATGAGAAACAAGAATAGTTTTATTAATCAATAAGGATAGTGTACAAACGCAGTGGGCAAGTAGTCCATCAAAGATATACATCCAAAACAACAAAAACCATCAGACTTCCCACAAAAAAACCTTAACTGATAATAGACCATTACATAACTGCTGCTTTCCAATCTATAATTGTAAAAGAAAGTAAAACCCAAAATTCGGATGAAACTGAAGCCCAAAGTGAAGCTCAAAACCTAACTCTATCCCATAGCAGCTCCACCTCCACCCTACTATAATTGTTAAAATCCTCTTCTGCTACTCCACCCAAATTATCCACCTTAAGCCTTTCACACAAGTGAGAATAGCATCTAGCTGGAATTAGCCAACTCAAATTCAATTCTCTGAATCACACAGCTTGCATCTTCACATAGATTAGTAGACAGATGGTCCAAAGTTGCTGAATACCCCATGAACTATGAGTACAAGGGGTTATATCAAATTACCGTTGGAACTTTCACGCCATTGTAATGTCCCTCCAGAACTAGTAGATAATGTTGAATAGCCACCTCTGTTATCCCATGCCGCCAACAACAGACAAGGCGTGCTTATGATTATCACATGAGGGTAATGGCTTGTGTTTCCGTAATAACAGCAACCTAACATATCCCAACTTCCTTGAAAGCAAAGACAATGGAATACTATGAAATCCATCCACAAAGAAATGGCAGAGAGCAAATTGCTATGCAGAGGAACGCCTAAATATGATGGATGACAAGAGAAGCGGGAGATAAGCACAAATACACAAAAGGGCATGAAAATCTCAATCAGTTATATCAAAACAAAGTTTAGCCTCATCCCAAGGACCATTGATTTCGAATTTGTATTCTTGCATCCTTATAAGCCAATACGGACAAACCACAGATACAAAAATCAACAATCCTAACAACATCACAAAAAGTAACAAATGCAGGGTATAAACAAAAGCCAAGGTTGCGATCATAAGACCAAAAGAAAACCAAAGGTGCAAACGGAAGGAATACTTCTTAATACAGTAAGTAACCAACGGAGCGAAAAGGAAAACTTGCAAGGAGAAAAGCATGATAGCAAAAACAAGAAGCCTTGAACGAAGGCATGAAGCAATGAAAACTGAGGCCACAACAGAAGCATTTAAAGAGATGCAACTTGTCAAGGTCGGATTGTGTAGAGCCCCGGGAGCTCTTACGGTGGATCCATAATAGTCATGGAGGAAGAGATGGAGCACAAGGAGTGACACAGTTACTGCCCAAATGGAGTTCGAGCTAATGGATGTTGTAAGTGTTTGATAGATGGGAGCTAAAACATACAAGCCACTGATGAAAAAGGAAATATTGAGTAAGTAACGAAAGAAAAGATTGAAGGAAAGCATTTCTTTAGTTAAAAGGAGAACCAGAAAACCCAATCCAAGAAGAGTGACATCAAGAAGCAAGAGTGAATTTTCATTAAGAATTGATCTGAGGGTGTAGGTCCAAACCAAACCAACAAGTGCTACAATACACAGATATTGGGAGATGGAAACAGAATCCAGCATCACTTTCAGAATGTCCCTTTTGACAACATTGGCATTCATAACCATATCTTCAAGAAAAGAGTCATCTGTATGGTTATCATCAAACCCAGGTTGCATCCCTCCATATGCCACTTTTCTCCATCTGGGTCGAGTGGGAGATAGGATATCATTCAAGAATGTATCCATCAAAATCCTATTGTTGAGCAAAAATGAAATTTTTACTCAGTTACATAAATCCCACCCTCATGTGGGTCTTCAATGATACTGCTATTAATTATCACAAGTATGCGGAACAACGGCAATGAAGAACAAAATATGACAAGCCAGACACCAACAAGAGAAGAATAAGAGAAGACAACACAATCTGCAGACTTGAATTTTATTGTGTGAAAAGAAGTAACACCAAGGATTTCCATATAAAAAAGAAAATGGGGGTGTGGGTGTGAATGAGGAAAGGAAATACCTTAAAGAGAAAAAGACGGTCTTTTCGTTAAGGATCCCATCTCCACCGGAAAAATCTGAGAACTCACTCTCTAGGTTACCGCTGAGTTGGGTGTTCTGAGTTACGGAACAGAAACCAATGCACTGTATATTCGGCCTTTTTTCTTTCCTTTATTATAGCACGTTAAACACACAAATTTCGAATCTACTCTCAAATTTAGCATAAAAACTTGTATGAAATGGAATAGCATTGTTTTTATCTTCCCGACCAATTCCCGATTAATTACAGACTGTCATGTGAAAAAATTATCACGTATGACATAACATGATTGGTTAGAGATAGAAAATAGTGTTATCTTCGTTTCATGTATCTCCTAATTTAGGGGGCCATAAATACTATAATTATAAACATTATTATAGGGAGTTACTAGAGGTCATTTCTCTCTATTTGTATTTTTCCAGTTCTTTCCTAAAATTTGTCTTAGAGAGCCCATTATAGATGCTCTTTTTGTTATGGTATTTATAAATTCATTGGTTTACCATTAAAATGAAAAGAAATACGGGACTTTATTTATCAAAAGTGGAAAAAGTACAAACAAATAAAAGAGATAGCTTTGCTTTTTATCTTCGTAAAAAGAAAAAAAAAATAGATCGTTTTTAGTACAATGCCTTTTACTAAGCATATTTACTTAATAATTTGGGAATTCATGAATGATGGAATTTAAATTGGAGAAGCCATGAATGGTGTAACTTTAGATACTAGAATTAAGAGCATCCACAATGATGCTCTCTATTTATTAGCTAAAAATATAATAAAGTTATTTTAGGAGCTCTCTAAAAAATTTCAACTACAACCATACTCCCCAATTTGGAGAGTCATAAATGTCATAACTCTTTTTTGATTGGTCCATCTCTAATAAAAAATTAAATAAAAAATAGTTAGCATTAAATAAATGTTTGAAATACTCATTAAATAAAGCAGCATTAAATTATAGGGAGTCACTAGGAGTCCTTTCTCTCTCCTCAAATTTAGAAACTCCTAAAGGACTCCCTATTTTAGGAGGTGGATAGGGAGCGTGGTTGGAGTTGCATATTTACAATTCCTCCCTAAAATTTGTCTAAGAAGGTGGTTTAGGGAGCCCATTGGGTCAATTACTTCCTATAGTTTATCACATTCCTAATTTTGAGTGCATTTGATTATGGATTTTAATGTTGAGCCTACATATTTTTTTTTAATTCATTATATGTTAGTAAATGCATGGAGAGCCAAGAATTGGAATCATTCCACTATCTATGTGTGAGTAAACAAGAGAGAAGCACGAATTAGAATGATTCCAATACACATTAGTGATAAGTAAACAAAATCCGATGCATAATAATAAACTAGATCCTATATTATAAATAAAATACTATAAAGGAAAAAGAAAAAAAAATTAGATAGAGACAGAAACTTTGGAAAGAAAATTCCCATAGAGATGGGTCCTGTCGCCTTTTTTTGGATGCACACAAACTTGTTACATAACAAGGGTTGGTTTTCAGGCCTAAATCTCTCCATCCCATAATTGTTCAAGGGATTTGTATGGTGATGATGATCCATCAGCCGAAACCAGTTCTTCTCTCATCATCATTTTGTGCTGTGGGATTTGATTGATCTTGTCAAGGTCATCTTCTGTTAGCTCCCAGTCAAACACCTGCAGATTCTGCTTTAACCTCTCCTTGTTGTAGCTCTTAACAGCAAGAGTTTTCCCTGCCTGGTACACCCATCTAATGCAAACCTGCCAAAGTATAAGTACCAACAGACAGAGTCACAAATTCTTTGTTTGAAACTTTGAATAGATACCATGCACAAAATGTATATACTTGAAAATAATTAATGGGTTCTATCTACTCCTAATTTTGATTGAAAAATAATGACACTTTGTGTTTTGCTATAAAACAATTAATGAGCCATGCACCACCTCTGGGATTTGGGCTGAAGAAGCAGGCAGCATGTGCCATCTTTAGTTTCTTCTCTTTGGAAATTAGCTCAAGTTTTTTTTATCACGTATTGAAGTCTGGTTTCTAATTTTTCATCAAGTGAAGGTTCTTTTAAACTGCTAGATTTGAGTCAATTCTTGGCTTGTTATTATTAGACAAGAGAATGGTCTATTGACTCTCCTCCTACGAGGCTGTGCATTGACTCATGGTTTTGAAATACATCAACCAGATCATTGATTCATGGCCATTATCAATTGTGCAACTCAAGCTTCCTTCACCAATCTTCTTTTTCCTTCTTGCTTGTAGAGTTCTTAAAAAAAAACTCTGCGTACTTATAGCTCCGGTACGAAGGAAGGGGTTTAACTGTTGGTAACCAACTAGAGACGACATGACTTGTTGGATCTCGAACAACCCAGACTGTAGAACCTTCTAATTTAGAACTATGTTTTTTAAATTACATTTCGAAGGCAATGACAGGAGAAGTACTCATTAACGTCACCCAAATGAAAAGAGAACAAGGATTCATAAACAGAAATAAAATCCAAAACAAAAGAAAATTTAATATATAAGGAAAAAGCCAGGATCCTTCCAACAGACTATTGTTTTTCTTTGTTAAAGAAGACGTTTACAATACAGAAAACCAAGGACTAACTAACAATGCCCCTTGGCCTAAAATCAACCCACAGGCCAAAGCCAGCTCCAACTCAAAGCTAGCAATACAATGGATTCCCAACACTAAAAACAACAAATTAACTTTCTACGGTTATTTAAAAAAATTGTTCAGCTATCCAAATTTTTCAAAATTTGGTCACCATCAGCAAGTTTCTTCCTTGCGCAGCAAGCTTTTAGAAAAAGCAATGGCCAACCGCAGAAGAAGAGCATAGCAACGATCTCTTTTCCAGATCAAATAATGAAACAAGCAAAAGTTCTCAGTGGACTGCTTTGTGCCTAACACCAGCATCTTCATGCTCAACCTGATAAATAAGGAATAGATTAAGATTCGAGGGATGAGTTACATATCACAACAGACGTGTAGATGTAGCAAGTTATTTATAGTGATTTCACAATTATTTTAAAAAGGGTATTATTTACATTAAGTGTACTGCTCTACTAATCAATTACAACTAAAAGGGAGATAAGATGGATGCGGCTTGGATTTAACATACGATATGGTCTAATAGCAACCCCTTAGTCCTAAGGACAGGAAAGATAGTTTCCAGTTAAAGTGATATATCAATGCTTTTCACACAAGAAAAAGCGAGAAAACTATGCCGAACCAACTAAAGATCTCAAGACTGAAAGATGTAACCAGCCATTACCTCAACAAGTACCCTCGGCTTCTTCTTCGATTTGGCAGCAGGTTCATCTTTCTCAAATCTTCTAGAAGCAAATGCAGATTCCTTTCTCTCTCTCTTGCGAGTAACTGCTTCTGCCTCTTCATCACTTCCAACTGCATCATTAAGATCCTTCAATGAGTCCATTTGATACGCACAAGCACACAAACTCTTCCCCATAATTTTATACAACAGTAGGAACAAAGCATTATAAACCTTTTTCTTTAGTCACAGCTGACTAGAAAATTAGAGTCTGTTATGCAAATTTTGTGTGGACTATGCATGCATCCATTTCATATTCTGTTAAGACTAGAATTTAGCTTTACCATTATCATCATCTGCATGAGAATTGTCCATTGAAAAACCAGCAAAATCTTCAATATCATCTTCCTCTTCAAGTTCATCATAACCTTCAACATATTCTATCTCAGGTTCCTGCTTATTCCAACCACAAAAGTATTTAGATTATGACAGTATACAGTAAGCATACCATGAAATACTTCACATTTCAAAATACTAAAAATTGAGATATTAGATCATCCAAAAAGAAGGAAATGATAAACTTGCGAAAGAATACCTCCTCCTCTTCTTCTTCTCTCTCAGTATCCAACTGCATTTCTTCCCCTTCAAGAACTTTTTGGTATTTATCAAAGGGGTAATTATATATATCTTTATACGCATCACCATAAACTCCTTTCTTGAGGCGTTCTAATAGTTCTCTCTCAATGCTCTGCAGAAGGACAGTAAATCTTTATGAGAGCTAGCGAAAATAACAGATCAAGTCCGGTACATTTATAGTGTATGGCAGTTAAGTTAAAACCTTATCCAACACTGCAGCTTTTTCAGCCTTTTCCTCTCTTCTAGCCTCTCTCTTTTTCTCTTTCCTTGGTGTCGTCATTATTTTCTCCCTGGTAAACACAATAAATTGCATCAATAAAATGGCTCAATACAACTTCTTCAATATCAACATTAAAAAGGTAAAGACGTCGGTTCTCTGGAGTCACTTTTCGGACAAATTTTTATTATTTAAAAAAACATAATTATTTGATGAAGTGGACATTTATCACATGGACACGAAGCATTACACAATGAGATGCTACGGACCTTGTTTTCAAAGCAAGCTTCCTCATGCGTATCCTCATCTGGGTCATTTTAGTCAGCCGTTGCTTTGTTTTGTGTACAAGAAACTTAGGCCAGTACATCTGCCAATTCAGGATGGTCATGCTGATTAATTACTTCAAGAACCACTAACTTTATGAAAACTAACATACATTTAATCAGAAGCAGTTTAAAATAGGGTTCAGATTTTCAATACCAGATGTTTGTCAATAATTTCAAGTGCTTTCTCATAATTCCTGGGTAACTTAATTCTTTCCCACAACTTGTTTGGCATATGAGCTCTTTCTATAGTTTTCATATAAAGATAGAAGACTCCTGCAGGACACAAACATAACATAGGAAAACATTATATGCATTGCTGCTAGTATAGAAACAAATTCATTGGTATCAGAATAAGTAAAAAATATAAAGTAAACTTACACTCTTAGAAAATCAACAAGACTATATAAGCTTTTTAGATATATGTTAAAAAACAAATAGGTTTCAAAGGAGATGGGAGATTGTTTGATCTCTTATATTGTAGTTATAAGATGTCGTACATTAAGTGCTCTCAGTTTTGCAGAGGGAAAGTTGTGCGCAGCATTTTCTAGATGCTTCTTTTTGACATACAGTATATCGTGTTCAAAGATGGCACCTCCATGGATGAAATGAAAGGCAGAAGGTTTATGTATTTGAACGGAAGCAGCTAAGAGGCTTTTGTGTTGATCAAAGAGAAAGTTATATAGGTGCCTATT